CCTTTGGTCTAGTAGAGAAGGACAGACACATTTGTAAATAAGTCCTATAGTATTACAAGTGCTGAGTTAGAAGACTTAATGGAGTATGTCTGGGACCAATAGCTTTGAGATGTATATTGTTACCCTTGAATCAAGATAAGGGTCACATGGGTCAGAACTATAGCACATCAAACTCAATATTCCATATGTGTCAAAGGTACTAACTTCTAACATCTTGATACCTATTGGAATAAATAACTCCAAAATTGTTTTTAAACTTAGAATCTTAAGGAGTTTCCTGTTCCAAAATGGTGGCATAGAGGCAAGCTGGCTTCTCTCCCCGCAACAAAGAAACGGAAAGAAATATACAGCACTGAGGTCTGCACCCGCAACAATGCAGAACTCCAGCATGAGGATGAGTCCGTTCCCAAGGCCACCGAGAAGTGGAAACACTCTGAGCAGATGGTAGGAGAATCGAACTTCCGCATCCACAATGCCCTTCCCCTCAATCTGCCAGGCACCCACTGTTTGGAAAATCTCTCAACTTACGGTTTCTACGCTGGAAAAAGTAAAACTGAAGTAGTCAGACTCCCCACTTTCTTGGGTTTCCTAGCCAGAAACCAGTCCTTGTCTTAACCCGCGGGTAGTATCACAACTTCCTGAACGCAGAAATACCCCTGAAGACAGACATATCCCTGAAATATCCCTGAAACAGAGGAGCTGGGACTCTGCTCTGTAACTCAGCCAAAGAAGACATAAGAGTGGCTGTAGGAGCTATGTCCCCCAGGTCTCCTGGGCATGAACCCCTAGACAGCCTTCCCTCACTGCCAGGATAATCCGTTTGGGACCTCCCCTATTTGGGACAGGCAGTGCTCTGACCATTTACTAGAGCCAAGGTGAACCTGAGCTTAAGGTGCCACCTAGAGCCAAAAAGGAGGCAGGGATCTAGCATTAAAGATTTGGCTGGGTGCGATGGTTCATGCCTGTAATCCACTTTGGAAGGCTGAAGCGGGTGGATCACCTGAGGTCAGGAGTTTGAGACTAGCCTGGCCAACATGGTGAAACCCTGTCTCTACTAAAAATACAAAAAAATTAGCTGGGCATGGTAGTATGTGCCTGTAATCCCAGTTACTCAGGAGGCTGAGGCAGGAGAATCACTTGAACCTGGGAGGCAGAGGTTGCAGTGAGCCAAGACTGAGCCACTGCACTCCAGCCTGGGTGAAAGAGGGAGACTCCATCTCAAAAAAATAAATAAATAAAATCAATACAAAAAAATAAAATTCACCAAGTAGCTGAATGGATAAAGAAATAAAACCCAACTATATGCTGCCCTCAAGAAACCCATCTCACCTATAAAGACACAGAGAATGAAAAGGAGTGGAAAAAGATATTCCATGCAACTGGAAACCAAAGAAAAGCAAGAATAGCTATAGTCATATCAGATAAAATAGACTACAAGTCAAAGACTAAAAACCTATATAATGATAAAAGGGCCAATTCAGCAAGTGAATATAACAATTATAAATATCTATGCATCCAACACCAGAACTCCCAAATATATAAGGCTAACATTAATAGATCTAAAGTGAGAGATGGACTGCAATACAGTATTAGTGGGGACTTTAACACCCAACTCTCCATAATGGACAGATCATCCTAACAGTAAATCAACAAACAGTGGAGTTAAACTACACACTAGACCTACTAGATCTAACTGACACTTATGGAACATACCCACTGCTGCAGAATACACA